CCGAGGAGGTATTTTAATGGGACCTTCACACCCGGTATCTATGCTATGTTCTACCAAATCAGTTTGACCCAGTTTTCCATCAGGTTTCATAAAAATGTCTTCAAACTCAAGCAACAAACTCTCAATTTTCTTTTTCTCTTTCCCATTTAATTGATTGGAGCTTTTGTCTTATAAAATAGCCAAATGTTCGGGAAGTTTTGAACTTTTTGTTTGAGTTTTAGAATGAGGCTCTACTTGATGCACACTCTCAACTGGTTCTAGATCAGCTATGCAAGTATTTCTGTTGATTTTAACTGACCTGTTTGTTAGATTGAGAAGGGAGATAACTATTTTCTCCTTCTTAGGATCAACTAATGTTTTTGCCATTAACAGACCATTGACATTGACAATTTGTTTAGGTTCAACCAACCCATAATTGGTACCAAGTTTCCCTTGAATATACCCTGTACAACAAAATTCTGTGTCAGGAGGTATTTTAATCGTATCACTGAGTCTTATTCTGGCACATCTAAACAAAGTTTTAGGGTTTTCAGAAAGAGGGAAATTTTGTTTACCTATTTTCAAGGTCTCATTTTGGAAGTTTACAACTCCTTTATATTTCTTTAGGAAATCCACTCCCAATATACTAATATCACCCTCCAACTTCCCTACAAGCATTTGTTGTTCAAAAACAGTATCTGAGTCACACAAACTAAATGAAAAATTTGACATTCCTAGTATTGGGATAGATTCACCTTTCGCACACAACAGTGTTTTATTTACACTTTTCATCTGCTTAGGTTTTATCTTCCCAGATAACATGTCAAATATGTCTTCATCCAGGATAGTAACTACAGAACCAGTATCAACCGGAAAACTCATTTGAACATCACCTATCTTAGCTTCAATAAACAAGCAACTTGGTTTTATGGTGTTCAATGTCATCATTGGCCTATTGGTAAATTTGTCAATTTCACCAGTTTTAAGGGCTGAATTGTCGGCCTCGAATCCAACCCGACCTAGTTTCCCGAATTTTTAATTGCATTGACTGAGTTAGAAGGAGCATTTTGATTCCGTTGATAGGGTTTTGATGGACATTTCCAATGAGGATGATCCATTTTCTGACAATATTTGCATTTGAATTTTCTTTCATTTTTCAGGGATCTAATTTCAGATGTGATTTGATTCATCATTTTTCCCATTTCTTCAGATATAATGGTAGCCAAATCTTTTTCAGAAATTTCAGGAGATTTCTTATTTTCAGAAACTACATGAACATTTTTCAGAAGTCTCTCATCACTTGCATTAGGCTTCCTGAGAATTGTCTTAGGCCCATCAAAAGCCTCATACTCAACAGCCAAAGTGATTGCATCATCGACACTTCTTGGATGTCTAAACTGAACATGTTTCTTGATTTCTGTGTTATTCAAACCTGAAATAAACTGATCAATTACATAAGTTTCCCTAGCAACTCGATCCAACTGAGGGTAGGCTTTTGCAGCAAGGTGTTTTAATGCATAACCAAATTCTGGTATTGTTTCAGTGTCTACGCGTTTGCGATTTTTGAATTGACATCTATATGCAGCTTCGCGTCCCGGAGGATTAAACCTTTGCATGAGAACACGCTTAATGTCATCAAATTCTCTGATATTTCCAGGGTCTAAATCTCTAAACACTTGTTGAGCATCCCCCTTTAAACTAATAGCTAGCTGCTGTGCTTTTTCAGCACTGGTCCAGCCATTGTACATAGAAACCCATTCAAAATGTTGTAAATAAATTTCTAGATCTGATGTACCATCATAAGTTTGTGGTTCTTTTTCTTTTCTTGCAAGTCTGGATGATCTAGAAAAATTACCATGATCAGATAACTCTTGGGGCATTGTTTGCATATGTAAGCGCGTAGGTGTTACTCCCCTTGATTGCGTTTCATACGTGTTGAACTGGCGCGCACGCTGCGGCAATACGTTTTTCTGATTTATTTCACCCCTTACTTGGGAACCCCCATGTAAATGGGATGAATGTAGGGACCTCTGTGTGGGCAGAGATGTAACAGAGTGTCCTTGATCACCAGGTTGTAAAAACCTTTCGTTACCCAAGGTATCTCTTAAACTCTGCGGGGCATGTGTGCGTGGTATGTCTCTAGAGTGATCTGAGTCAAAGTGCACCCGTGCAGGGATTTTTGGCAAAGTATTTTGACTGTCCGAAATGAGTGGAGTGCTGGTAAAAATATTTGGTTTTTGTTTCTGAATTCCACTTGTAACTGGAGTTTCATTTGCATTTCCAACACCAAAGTTCCGAAATTCTGTTTCTGAAATTGATTGATCTTGTTGTAAATTTTCATTGTCATGTTCCGAAAATTCCGAAAGTTCAGGAAACATTTCTCTAAGTTCTTTTCTAACATCTTCTCTAAACTTTTCTGTATCGGGTACACTCCAACCACTCTTTGTTTTTATTGTAGTGCAAGTTGGTTTTGGTTCAGGGGAATCTAAGTCATATTGTAACAAACAACTTTCATTGACAAGGTCACCTGTGAATGGACTATGGCTATCTTTAAATGACATTGACCTAGTTTCGTCTATTGTTTGATGCTTTGTGTGAACAGGTGCGATGTAACTCTCGCCAGCTTGAGAAGCGCATGCTGCACGATCTTGATACGACTCAGCACTTTTACCTGTACGACTAGAAACACGTGGACTTTTCCATAACATGTCTGAATCAGCAAAATACTGTTTAGATTGACCCTCGGGTTCTCTACAAAAATCTTCGGGTTTTGCTAAACCGTTTGAATACGGAAAATGAGACATTTTAACTCTGAAAACGAGTAGTTTATTGGAACAGATTATAACAAAACAGCTGACACTGAATGTGCGTGGGCGTGAAATACACAAATGGTTTTACTAATAACCCTGTAATAGCTCTTTATGTACATGTACGAGTTCGAAAAGCCAAATACAGTGTGCTCAAATCCTAGGTAGACAGCACCATTTTTCTGTAATAGGAGTAAACTTTAGAACACCATTTTCATTAGTGGTTCTAGAATATTTTTTTTTGTACACTCTCCTATAATTTCATGTTTATTATTTCCCAGGTTCTTATTTTGATTTGAGATTCTGCTTGGTCTTATTTCCGAACTTATTTGTACCTTAATTCAACACCTCATGTCAGTCGTAATGAACACACCAGTTCCAACAAACAACAAAATTTATTAACCTTTGTATAGACAAACAAAAAAAATATAGTATAAAAAAAATAACAACTGTAAATTCGTGCCTTGTCAAAAAAAATCCCAACAACCGTATAAAAATCACCCCCCAACCTAGCGTACGGAAACGCTAGCCCAACCTAGCCGGGGGGAAAAGGCCTAGGGTAATTTAGAAAAACCCCTTATTTATTTAAGAATACCTTAAAACCTATCTCCTAGCTTTTAGAATTATGGCCTAATAAATTTAACAGGAGCAATAGACGACGACAATTTAGTCAAAATGCCTAATATCTTAACATAATTTCTAAGGGTGCAACCTGTTAAATACCTAATAAACCTTTATTAAAGTGAGAGAACTTACAGCAAGTTAATGCTTTCCAAGATTCCCCACGTGTCTAACAGTTACACGGGTTTATATACTCTTCGGAAACAATAGAATCTTTAACTTGAAATCTAGTGAATACACCCCAAGGGTATGAACTTTGACTGAAATTAGTAACACCCAAAAGGTTAACTTCCGTATTGATAGCCAATGAGAATTTAGATCATCAAACATAAACATTTACCCGTAAGATTTGATGGAAGCAACACGTGCTATTAAGGTTTGTAAATATAAACAAAATAATATGGGGGATAAGGCAGTATACCAATATATGCATGAAAACATAAATAACGACATTACATTTAAAATACAAGGCATAAATGCATATAACAAAATTCATTCCTGCTACATACTGAATTAAAAGTATGTTTACTTCATAATTTAAAATTATTACATAATACAGTGCAAACCTAAGGGCAGGTGGGCATAATGTTTACCAAAATTGATGCCTTTATATCTTAAGTTATTACAGCAAGAAAAAAAAAACCCACATGGTAGCATACATGTTAACCGACTGTGATGAAAAAGAGGGAGATTCAGATCATTGTGCACATTGTTTTACGCATCGATTTAAGAAAATATATATGTAAATATGGCCTAAAATGAACACTACATTTACAATATTATAATTAAAATCAAATATTAACTGCAATGAAATAGAAAAAAAACAAAAAAACATTTGACATAAATTATACTAATATTTTTCATGCTCATATCACTTTGGTTTTGATTGGCTGCTTAATTTAACCTTTTGAAGAGTGATCTATGTTGATATATCCTGGAAGCAATAATTGTGAATGTTCATTCAGTAATCAAATACAGCAAATGATGACATTATTTAATTCAGATCTAAAACTAGTTCCTTTTTTTCGTAAGAAAAAAACATATTTCCTGCAATGACAGAAAACGAAAGTAGAGATGCAAAAAAAAAGTATTAAATGAAAGCTGATTCCCTATTTTACTCTCATGAATGAGTTTCATCCAGTTCTAGTATACTATATCCCCTTTTTCTTGGTGGGGATGACAACGAAATTTGATGTAACTAATGTTTGCACCTGTCTTTGTCAAACATGTGCTTGAGATCTGAGTAAACATCGGTTAAAATAAACGTTTGTATGCTCCCAGTTCAAATCAAGCAATATCTAATAAGATTTTATGATGAATGGCTTTAAAAAGGCTACCCAAGCGAACCAAACATTGTTTTTTTTTAGAAAATCGGTAGATTTACGAATAAAAGCGGTAGGCGGGAGATGGAGTAAAAAAGCGGTAGACTTCCACCTTAAGCGGTAGAGTTAACATGTATGTTGGTAGATTTCTTGTAATATTTATATCATTTCTGAGAACATTGAAGCATGTCCAAAGTATAAGCCGAGACTGATTGTTAAGGCAGTGGTTATTTTAAAATGCTTGACATCATATGATGTACAGAATTAATAAATGCTTTACCAGGAAAAACTCAAAGAGTGTGAGCAGTCGGTTCGTAAATATGAACAGGAAGTGGACAGCTTGACCTTCCGAAATCAGCAGTTGTCAACAAGAGTACTGATTCTCCAAGAAGAACTTGATGAAGCTGAAGCCAACAAAAAGAAACACAAGGTCCAATTTCACAACATGAAGATTGATGTGTTTGGAAGTTACATTTTTAATCAAATTACCTGATCTGTAGTGTTGAAAGAAAGTTAACTGAAATACTGTACATTGTAGATACATACCTGTTACCAATAAACGAGAACTAGCATTACATGTACCATGCATAGTAGAGTTAAAATATAATACAGTCAAACCTCGTTATCTCGAACTTGATGGGACCGAGAAAAAATTTCGAGATATCCGAGGATTCAAGATATCGAGGGTAAAATACTTAAAGATTATGTAGTTGGGAATCACTTCGACATATCCATGGTATTCGAGATATCTGTGTTCGAGATACCGAAGTTCAACTGTACATAATCTTTTAAAAAAAATTTCTATTTAAATTAACTCATTAAATTTAGAACACAATATGTCAATTTAAATTTGAAAATGAAGTATATATGAAGAGTAGGTAAATAATGACATTATCTGATTTCAGCATAAACATGATGCGACCCCGGTAAATCTTCCATCTCCTTCTTCAGTGTACAATGAAGAACTCATGAACAAGATACAGGAGAATGAAAGGCTTCATAAACAGGTCACCATAAATACTGTAGATTGGCAAATAATCAAGATGGCTTTAATTTCACTATGTTCGTGATTTATCATTTTTCCGCGAAATTAAACCCATCGTGAATGGTATTGTTAGTTTTTAGAAACGTTTAAATGCTTATACAAAATTAGAATTAATTTCTTGCAGTGTGAAATTAAAACAATTGCGATTGGTACTTTTTGAGAAATCGTGAAATTTTAACACTGTGGAATTAAAACGACTTACAGTATCACTCCAAAAATAAACAGGTCACCATAAATATCCCTCCAAAAATAAACAGGTTACTATGAATATCCCTAACAAAATAAACAGGACACCATGATATCCCATAAATATTGAGTATAGTGGAGTTTTTCAGTATTTTGTCTATGCAGAGGGCAGAGAGTAACCAGAAGTACCAGAGTCGATTGGAGGAGCTAGAGAAATTAGTCAAGGACTATGAGAAGAAATTCAGTCAGCACCAAGAAGTATTAGATAACACAGTACAGATGGACAAAGCCCAGATAGACAAATTACAGGAGGAAAAAGCCATGCTGGAGGTAATACATGGGGGAGGGGGGTGTCAAAGAAGGGTGGCTTATGTGGAAATGAAAAAAAAAATATTCTAATTAGAATTAAGGTAAAAGCAAGGTTAATGTTAATGTTAAATAAAGCATAATGGGTAGCTCAACTGTATACACATGTTAACAGTTGAGCTACCCATTATAGTTTACTGTTTGTACACTTAAAGATGTATATCTGATTTTTTTTTTATCTCAGACAATTTATCACCATCTATTATTTACAAATGTACAGTGTAAAATTTCTCAATTTACGAAAATTACACACTCTAGTTTTTATCTGTTCCAGAGAAAAAGAAATTGGAAGATTTAATTTAAAAAATTATTATTGTGGTTCCACAATAATGACTGCTGATAATGCACACATGTACACTAAATAGTTTTTCTTCAATCGTAAACCTGAGATTTCAGAAGTGCATATTAGGTGTTGTGGAAAGCTGATTAATTTGATGGAATCAGGGTACAAGAGCAGAAGAGCAGTGTTAAAAACAGTCTACTTAAATGAATAAACCAATTTTTTTTTTTTTACATGGTTTGAGGTAAATAGGTGGTAAAACTAAAATTCTACTAGTAAACAAAAACAAGATTTTTACCTCATCACATGTTTGAAAGGTCTCATGCTCTTTTTCAATAGATGTTTATGCTGATTATTCACAAGTTTTTTTTTGCAAGCAGAGAATAATTTCTTTGATTACAACTTAGGCACGAGACATGTGATAAGTGGAAAGAATATTTTTAGTCATTTGAACATATGATAAACAGATCTAGTCGATAGTATCCATGTATTACAAAAAATACTTAGCACATGTGGACCATACATCTTTACACATGAAATGTTATGGCATTATGAGAGATATCCATTATGTCATTTTTGTGTATATGTATACTGTATACATTTTCGATCCTTTCGCCCTCGTCGCATTTGGGCGAATTTAAAATGGGGCGAATTCAAAGACGGCACTATCTCTTGAACAGAACTGTGTCTGGGCGAATTCAAAATGGGGCAAAATTGTTTGTGACGGGACGAAAATAAGATAGGGCGAAAAATAACCCTGTATACAGTATTCTGCCTAACTTTTTTATTGGTTCCTGCAGGTCAAGTGTCAGACAATGGAGAAGGAAATCAAAACCTGCAGGTCATGGACAGACATTGCGTAAGAATTCTAACCATCGAATATAGATGTGACATTTTAGTTCTAATAATTACAAATTAAGGGTACATGTTAGTCATACAGCAATATGATTTTTATAGGAACAAATCAAAGCATTGATATACTAAGAGTAATTGCCATTATTTAAAATCATAAAAGTCAATTACTCATATTCAACTGCAAAGATGTGTGTAAAAAAATCTTAAAAATTAAGAAAAACAAAGAACTGATAGTGTGAATTTATTATATTTTTAATTGTGTTTTCATATACCTGGAGAGAACCATGTGTACATGTATCATTGTATTTGTAGGGAGAACCAGTTGAAGACAGTACAGTTCCATTTACAAAGACAATTAGAGCAGGCCAACAAAATCATTGCAGACAAGCTGCCTTTCATTGACACAAGTAGGATAGACTCTTGTTTTTCCTTAAAAATAAATCCACAGGGTTGTGCATAAGACATGGGGGTCAGGGAATTTCCCTGCCTTTAATGACATAATCTTCCAGTTATCCTGGCATTGCCCCTCTACTCCTACAAGGGGAGTAACCCAAGAAATCCTATTTTTAAATGTCCCCTTCTATATAATTCTTATGGACAACCCTAAATCCACATTATGGATACATTTAACAGCTTATGTTAAAATAAGTCATAGTGATTCATTTTTGTGCATGTTGCATGAATCTCGTAGAAAAATATTTTTTATGTATGTTGAGTTACTTTCTCTAAATTATTATTGTTTAATAGTTAAAAGTATATATTTTTGGACAAAAATTATGTTATTATCCAGAAAACAGAGATCTTAATTCTATTTAAAAATTCAATACTCGAGTATTTTTCTTCATATTATTTATTAAATATTAAATAATTCATTTACCGTATTTATTTTCAAAACACCCCTTTTTAAAATCCAGGGCTGTTTTCCTGATCATAGAATCTAGCCTAGCTGTTAAGTTAGACATGTTAGATATCTAGATTGTATTAAACAATAAAATGCTTTCCTCGGTTGTTAGTACAGTAATTAACATTGCAGCTGCTGCAGAAGAAATACATAACCCGCTAAACGGGTTATGTAAATTTTTTCTGCAATAGCTGCGACGTTAACTCTTGTATCAAAAGATTCTAGGAGCTATGTAGAGCTACTACGATCTTGAACAGTACAGCTCTGCAATCACCTACGAAACTATATCTACAACTTACCTTGCACATTTTACAGTTGGGCTTTGATGGACTAGTTTCACATGGGCAGTTTTTATAACACAGCTTGCAGAACTGAAAAGGATTTTTCTTTTTTTATCTTCTTAGCTTATATATTTATAATTTAAAGTTTAAAAGTTTGCATTCCTTTTAGACAGCGACTTCACCATTTCATATAACAACTGCAACAAAACTATTTCAATGACAATTTAAATTCCGTTTATACAGACTTAAATGCTTAAAATCACAAATTATTTCCTGGTTCCTCTGCATTTCACAAACTTTGTCCTACCTTGCAGTATTCAGTGTCCACAAACTGAACCTTTCGCATAATCTACTTTTTCTTGATCAACCTTCTCTTCCTCGTTGCTTGATTCTGCAGCCAAAGAAAGTGAAAACAGAGCTAGGAAACCCAACAAAACCAAGTAGCGTGTGTTAAGCTTCATTCTTCTTTAAATCAACTTTAATGTCTTTGCCTGTCACTATAGTCAATGTTGTGACGTGTACCTTGTGCTTCCTTTTCCGGGATTAGAAGAGGGGAAATTCGGAAGGCTAAGATTTTTAGATATTATCATTGGGTTTGGTTTTTTATTTCCTTTTTTTTTTTTACCTTTCAGTACTTATGAATAATTAATTTAGGTAGAAAACACTACTGGGGTTGTGAAAAATATGTGTTTTCAAAGTAGAGTTTTACGTTTTTTTTAAATACTTTTGTGAAGTCTTTTATGACTATTTACAGATATTAGCCCTTTCAATTCAACATGGCTGACCATGAATTAGATGCACTAGAGAACAGATTAGATATAATTGAAATAAGGTGTTTGGAAGCTCAGAGAAAGATGCATTTTATCCCAAGGTACGTCTCAACTTGGGGAGCTTTAAAGTAACTTTGATGCATTGTGGCATTTGACCGTATGCAATTATTATTTGATTTATTTATAATTTTGACATTTTTTAAGATAAAATAATATTGAAATAAAATTGCAAGCAACCAATTAAAATAGCTTAATTAAGCTTTGCCTTATTTAATTTTGTATAGCTAAATCAAGAGATTTTGTTGGACCTGATATTATTACGAATAATGTGGTGGTATTAGTTTTATATAATCATAATTATGATAATGACAGGTCCAGCACAATACCCTGGTAAAGGTATATACCTTGATAAAGCTACAAATGTATATAGCTTTATTAAGGTTTTACAAATACCTTGATCAAGGTATTTTATGTAATGAAAAATACAAAAAAGAAATAATATCAGTAAGAAAGCAAACACCACCTTAGGCTTCTTAAGACAGAATCTCCGAAATGTCCCAGAGCAATGCAGAAAAACCGCATATACATGTATATCCCTTTTTAGATCCATCATGGAATATGGAGCTACTATCTGGAATCCATACCTCAAAGGGGATATTGATAAAATTAGAAAAGATACAAAACAGAGCCATAAGATTTTTTAAAAAGGAATACAGCAACAGGAACCCGGGAGCAATAACATCATGAGAAAGAGCCTCGACATTGACACCCTTAAGGAAAGAAGAACAAGTCTGAGACTTACACTCATGTACAAAGTGGTTGAGGGGTTGGTGCCATCATTGCCTCCTCACTCATTCATAACAAAGGCCAAACCCAAACACCAAATTAAACCAGGACATTTCAGGGACCACCATACAACAAATATAGTCCAGAAACATGTGTGTAACAACAGCAAAGGCTTAGTCATACCCACCAGCAGAACACCACAATATTAACCCTCATTTTTTTGTGGACACGTGCATACACTGGAATCACCTACCGGACTCAATCGTGCGTGCAAAAACTACAGGAATTTAAGACTGCCCTACAGGAACATCGACGCCTGCAATAACATCCGGCGCTCTCTCTACTGTTGTAAAAAGCCATAACTGGATTCTACAATTTACAGATACAGATACAGACAGAGAAAAAAATCCTAAAAAAATAAATACTGATAGTCGAGTTCTGAGTTGTTGTCAGTAAATTCACTCATGCATGTAAACTACTCAAACACAAAGAAATCAGTATAAAAGCATGTCGTGTGAGGAGACGTTCTTTTATGCTGTCTTTTTGATACCTGAGTACTTTTCAGGTTCGAGTGAACACACTGACCACAACTCATAATTCGACTTTTAAATTTAATTTTTTAAGATTTTTTTTGGTAATTTCATTACATAAAATACCTTGATCAAGGTATTTGTAATACCTTGATAAAGCTATACATGTATAGTTTTATCAAGCTATATACCTTTATCGGGGTATTGTGCTTGACCTGAATGAAGTACCAAAACATTTATCAGGTTGGGCACAGCCCAAAAAAGGGTCTTTGAACTCCCATCAATCTCCCATATTAGAGATGGTATTTACTGACTATTTGGAAGAGAAAAGTCGTTAATTCCATGGATTGGCATGAAATGGCGCATAATTTTAACCCATGTGGAATATAATATAGGTATTTATTGGTGTTCTTAATGAAAAAATCCGTAATTTATCGTGGAATTTTTTGCAAAGAGTTGTTCAAATATTTGACAAGATTTTCTAGTACATTAACCAGTGCAATATTTCTCCATTTTTACTTAAAAAGAAAAATCCCCTTCTTCCCCAACGACGTTGCACTTGTAAATTGTGTTGCTTACTTTCTATTTCAATCTTCTGGGCAACCAATCAAATAATGCAAACCAATAAATTCGATGAATGATGTTCTTTCTTTAACATGGTTTAAAGTCGGATTTAACTACAGAGGCACATAAGTGTTAATTTTAAATTAGGAAATAAAAAGAAAAATAAGTTTTTGCTTTTATTTCCTTTCATTTTGTACGCAATGGCATTATACTTTTTATAAGAGTAGGATATACAGTGAGATATACAGTGAGATTATGATATAATTATTGTTTTAAAACGATGCACTTTGAATAAAAACAAGAATTGCAACTGTCACTGAATTTGTAAATCTTTTATTTAAAATCATTTATTAAATATATTAAATTCATCATTAATATGCATATTAAGAAAAGGTCACATGGAATTTGCAACTTATCCTAAAAGAAAAAAATAACAACAAATATTACATTCAAGTGTACAAAATTAAATTTTATAGCAGTAAGTGCCCACCATACCAGTAAATTATTAGGAGCTCGTGTTTAACAGGCTTTTATGAAAATAGATATTGACGAAGATCCAAAGAGCGATTGAAAGTTAACTTCAAAAGAGTTAAACCACTGGACAAAATAGAATTTTTATCCAACTATAGACACAATCATTTTTTTTTGATTGATTGAGCAAGAAGTTCTGCTGTTACGAACAACTATAGGTATCTTTTTTACAAAGTTAAGCAGAAATTTCACCCGGAAAATTGATCGAACTATGCAAGGAATATGTTTACTAAAATTCGCTGATGCCTATGCAAATGCACCTTTGCTTTTTTTTTTTTAATAAAAATTGGATTCGAATAGAAAAGACTACCATTTGGTCAGTATATTTCATCTCTGATATGGGAGACTGACCACCAAACAGAAGTAAATGACCGTTTGATGGGCTGTGCGCAACCTGTTTTTATGTCGGTAGTGCCATTGAATGACCATGATGACAAGTTAGAATAATCTAACCAAATCTTACTAAATATATCAAAACCAATTCAACAAATATAGTCAAATTTGGACTAGTGCTTTATGAAGTTTATTAGTCCGACACATTTTTTACTTGCCTTGGACTTGCAGCTAATTCCAAACCCTGATTATAAATAAACACCATATTAATGATAATCATAGTAAACCTTTTTGAGCTTGTATGTACCTTCAAACCATAATATATCTTGATAAATAAAATAATATTCTACACATTTTCTCATTGTTTCATATTTACTAGCTGCCATACTCTCTGAATTGTTCACAGTATATATGTCACTTAGATTAGAATTATCTCCCCCTATAGTAAGTTATGTGACTTGTATCACTGTTGAGTGTTGATGTTATATTGTACCTTTACTGTAGTGTGTGCATGATGAACATATTGTTGTATATGTACTTTTTTTCTTTTGATCTGTGCAGGACAAAAAGAGGGCAGATGAGGTAGTTACGATGTTTATCTGCTAGATACATTTATACTACTATATATACTCACAGTTATGTGTTTGATTTTCTGTGTTTTTGAGATAATATATATTGTACATATATGCACTTGCAAAGTTCATATACTTAGTGTATCACTTTTTCACATAACCGGGTGGGGTATTGAAGATTTTATATATTATTTATTTATTCACTTTTGACCAATATTGCAATGGTACTTTATCTATATTAGAAATCCCATTTATATGTACAATAAAACTTGTCTGTAGGGACTTTAGTTACAAGGATTTTCCATAATGAATAAATCAGAATAATTCACTTCTTTTGCTTTGGAGACTATTCAACAAATATGGGTTTCTTTTCTTTTTTTTCTGTCAAGGTAATCCTTAATATTAGTTTTTTTTGTTTTGTTTTGTTTTGTGTTTCATTATTTTTTTTTTTTTTGTCTCTAGAAAACACTGAATTGCTAGCAGACCTAGGCAATATGGGCCCTTATACAGTTGCTCCCAGAAATTCCTTGTATGAAAGTTGAATTGTACATGTATTTGGATTTAGGGCTGATTGTTGTTATATGTCTAATCTTTGATAGGAATCTGTAAAAACAGTCATTAAATAGAATAAAGTCATATTAGTTATTGCACTTGACAATATCAGTTAGTAACTATATTTATTTTCATTTTTGCAAAACAAGATAATTATGAAAATGAATGTCCCCAGCAAGGCCCAATTGAAATAGGGACACATTAACAATGACTTTCGTCTAATGACTGTTCATACATGGTCATGACACTACTGTTGTGGCCAAGAGTATGTTTCTAGTTGTCTTTTACCAAGATATGGACTAGAAAAGAATTTAATATACATTTCTAACACAGATGACCTTGACCCAGTCAATATAACCTCTGTCTCTAAATTATGTTTGTGCTAAATGTGAAGTTTCCATGTTGTTTACTTGACATGCATCAGAAGTTTTGACTTAATGTTGAGTGAAGTTAAAATTACAAACAGACAAAGACACAGAAATGGTGACTGATTCACTTAAAATAGATACTTGCCAACTCAAGGGCATACAAAGTAGAAGTATGATAAACAGATGGTGGAATTCTAGAAAACATAATCCAAGAAGCTGTCAACTCAGGATGATGCAGTGTACTGATTTAAAGGGAAAAAACCATTCATGTTTGAAAATGTTTCTTTTTCAAGGCATTTGATAAAGTTATTTTATTTAATTTAGTCTCTAACCATGCCTCCTGTCAGATGGCATAATTTTCACAACTTGAATCTTTGCATTTGTGCAACACTTCTATACAGACTTTTATGAAATAGCATGACTCTTTCTCTGTTTTCATGATAAATTCATATCTATGATTTAGATTAAAGATGAAAAAAAAATCTTGATATTATCAATAAGCTGTAAATATTATCTAAAACATCCGATTACAGTTGTTTAATTTCAATAAATTTAAAGTTAGACATATTAGATGGCATAGAGACATCAAAACTATAGCCAGCGTCAAGTCATGCCATCATAAATTTACATTTTATATGTATTATAGATTCTTCACAATGAAAGGCCCCAAACAGCACAGCTCTTCTGTAAAATTAAAAATGTTCTCACAAAAATCACATAAGCGAAGGATTTCAGCAATGATGACAGCAATACACATTGGACTAAATATGTAATTATTTGATAGATTTCTGTCTAGTCCATACTTACTGTTTATAGCTTTTAATGGTTTCAGTGCATAGAAAAACTTGCCAACATTCAAGAAAAGATTTTTACTGCAACCAGAAATAAGAAGAGGATATCTGAGATTTACGGAAAATGTAAGAAAATCAGTACACTGTAATTTGATTATTTATTATAATAGTACAGTTTTATTTGCTTATATGTAATATAGATGAACCTTATGTCTATTAGATAAGAAATACAGTGAAACCAGGGGTTGAAATTTTTCTGGAAAATCCACTAGCCCAGGGGCAACTGATCAGTTAAAATTTACTAGCCCAAATATCAAACTAACTAGCCCTACAATTTTCATGCAAAATGAAAACATAACAAATTTAAGTGTCAAACGCTTTAGTGACAGGAACAATATCAAACTAACTAGCCCTACAATTTTCATGCAAAATGAAAACATAACAAATTTAAGTGTCAAACGCTTTAGTGACAGGAACAAATAAACTTAGTTCTCAGTCAAAAGAAACTAGCCTTAGCTGCCTACATAAAAAAGCTATGGTAAACTGACAATCGAGAAATTTTTTTGTTCTGCTAGTTCGAGGGACTATCATTACATTTAAATTATCTAGCCCAAGTCTTAAGATGACTAGCCCCCGGCGTCGGGCTACCGTATATTTCAACCCCTGGAAACTTGACTAATCCGGATGTTGTATATTCTGATATCTTGTGTAATATGATGGAAACTTAAAGTCCCTTTCAGTAAATTCAATTGTTTAAGATGTTGTCTAATCCAGAATTTTGCCTAATCTGGAATTTGCCTAATCTGGCCAATTTCTTTGGAACCAGTGGTGTCCAGATTAGACTAGTTTTACTGATCATGTATTGATTACCTTTTCCATACAAGTGTACCTTATTTACATATTAAATGACAGTACAGGATGTTCTGTAAATTACTCTGAAACATAAAAAGAATAAATAACAAGCTCAATATTCAAACTAATATTCTAGGCTTTATTTAATTATGACCTGATTGATGATTCAGTTCAATGGGTGTTTACAATATAATTTTCCTTCCCTGTGGCTTCAAAACTTATCATGAACTTAACAGGTAGAAGGACATATTATTTTCATACAATCATTGATTGATTTTGATATCATGTGTCAAAGTAAAGAAATGAGGATTGAAGGGGTCTTTCTAAATATAAACATTAAAAAACTCGGGTTGACCTGTACTTTCAAGTGATGGACAAGGGACGCTTTGGTAAGATGAAGGTAATTAATGACATGATTTGCTGGCATATTTTATTCAAAGCATATAAATTTTCCAGATAATGTGGTTAATCAGCAAATACCCGGTAATAGGGTTTACTTGTACTTTCTAATAATATACTTTTTTATTACATCCAGACAATCTTCATTTAAAAAAAATTGTAACGAATGTGGCCTTTTGTAAAAATGAAATAATAGATGTAGCCCTTTCATGAGATCTTTCCATATATAGATGTCAAGTCAATATATCTATGGATTGACCTCATGAAAGGGCTACATTTGTACAATATTTTCATTTTAATGTTTCCAGCCAAGGAAGTACAGAAGTATTTAGATCCAGCCTATACTGATGAAATGACAATGAGTGATGAAGCTAAGGAAGAAGTTATCATAGCAGGTAATCAGTGCTCCCAATTACTCCCAATAACTACATACTGTATATCATAAATCTATAGCAAGTACCGGTAATGACATATGTGTTACTCTCAATAGCTTCATACTGTATATCATAAGGTAATTGCATATACCGGTACATGTGTTACTCCTAATAACTACATACTGTATATCATAAATCTATAGCAGGGAATGGCTCATACATGTGTTACTCCCAATAACTACATACTGTATATCATATAAATCTATAGCAGGGAATGGCTCATACATGTGTTACTCCCAATAACTACTTACTGTATATCATAAATCTATATATAGCAGGTAATGACACATACATGTGTTACTCCCAATAACTACATACTGTATATCATAAATCTATAGCAGGGAATGGCTCATACATGTGTTACTCCCAATAACTACATACTGTATATCATAAATTTATAGCAGGGAATGGCTCATACATCTGTTACTCCCAATAACTACATACTGTATATCATAAATCTATAGCAGGGAATGGCTCATACATGTGTTACTCTCAATATGAACATTGTATATACTGTATTGTTAAGTTGTAGATTTCAAGTAGGAAATTTGTTCTACTTCTATTTTTTCCAGTCCCCTGAGTCATTCATTTATAACTTTCACATGTCATGATTGTTTAGTAATGGAGATTTACTAATAAGTTATTCAAATCATAATGTAGGACTAGTCCCCTTCTTATTACAAAATAATGGTCTTGTAGAGTAGGCTTTCCCCTCTAAAACTTTTCTTCCCAGAAAACTGGCTCTACAGTAGGATTTCCCCCATGCGTGGATCTAGAGTGGGGGTCGGGGGTGTCTGCAGTAACTGTGGCCTGTGGGGCAGGTGATGGTAGTATAGAACCAAACTTGTTAAACTGTGACCCCTGGGGCTAGGGATTTGGCATAGAATCAGTTTAGTTCAACTGTGGCACCAGGGGCAGGGAATGTGGTACTCAAACTGGTTAAACTGTGGCCCCTGGGGAAGGAGATATGGTATAGAATCAAACTGGTTAAACTGTGTCCTCCTAGAGAAGGGGGTGAGGCTACAAAAGGACTTGAGACTTACAAAGAAAACAAAAATTGGGGGAAGAAAATTTTCAATTCATCTTCTCAAGATTTTCAAACTACAAATAATATTTGTTTGTATGTTTGTAAATATTTTCTTGTATCTGGATGTACTGTAGATTCAAGTTTATTCTAATCATTGACTTTGGGGCAAAATGAGATCACAAAGAGAATTTAAATTTTTTTTACCGGTACTCTGAAATGTATTACAAAAATATTTCCCCATCAAGGACTATCGTCCAAAATGGAAGCATGCTTAAAATAAGTAAAAATTGTTAAATCATGGTCCTTAGGAGAGGGATAGTGTCACAAAATTAGTTAATTTTTTTAAAAGAAAGATGGAAGTACATTTTAAAATCTTTTTCTTTTCTCAAGATTACAGGACAAGAAACTGTCAAATTATAATGCAAAGACAAGTCAGGGAAAAGAGGGAAGGGGGAGGGGTGCTGTCAATTCCTTATGTTCTAATTAATTTTATCCATAAAAATATACTTTGGGAAATATCTTCCCTTACTTTCAGTTCAGATTTGTAATTCATTGCAATTTGGACCAAGGGGCTCTCAAGTTTTAAAAAGGAGTTGATAAGTTTATAAAAAGAAAATCTTAACTGAGAAGAAAACTTGCAAAGTGAGTGACACTTAAGTGACTGTAAAGGCTCATGGACCTCCTTTTTTTGATTCAATAATATATATATATATATATATATATATATATATATATATATATATATATATATATATATATATATATATATATATATATATATATATATATATATATATATTTGGGGTGGCAATTTGTAACCGGTTAACTGATTACTTGGTCGGAAAGATGGCAATCGGTTAGAAAATCTGTAATCAGTTTGTCGGAAAAAATAAAATTTATAAAAATTTGAACCTAATTTTCTTAAAATTCTTTCTTTTTTTTGGAAAAAAAAAATGTCTATAATCGTTAGAAATTCAGCGTTTTCACATATCCAAGCTGACTTGGATGTAATTATGGTTCTCCGGATTGAGATTGTATTGTAATTGGTCACTTTGTGTTTGAAGTGTTAATTAGTGTTTAAACACCATGTCGTTACCCTCACCGTCCTTGTATTTCTTTAATGATAATTAAATGATCATTGAGAACTGCAAATTTGTATGTTTTTTGCAGTTATCTATCGAATAAATTACTACACAAACTTTGTAAATTAATTAAGTTATGTATTTCAGACTTAGTATGGTGTCAGTGCTGAATGAACGTATGTGAAATCTGCTTTGGGAAAATAGCAATTATTTCTCAGTCATAATTCGTGGTTTTCTTAATTTTTTTCTAGTCTACATTGAAACTAAAATAAAATAGAGAAGCATGTGGGTTTTTTTTAAAATCAAGAATCAAGACAAATAAAATGATTTAACATCTAGATTTTATCAGTCTTCTTGTATATATGAATAGAACTACTTAGGAAAAAAGTATGTACATCAAGAAAATGCGTATATTGATACGGTTAACCGGTTAATCGGTCGGAACGTCTTGCGGTTAACCGATTAGCAATTCTGTATTCGATTGCCATCCCTAATATATATATATATATATATATATATATATATATATATATATATATATATATATATATATATATATATATATATATATATATATATATATATATATATATATATATATATATATATATATATATATATATATATATATATATATATATATATATATATATATATATATATATATATATATATATATATATATATATATTATTAGTTGTTCACTATTAATGTTGTTTGATGTTTAATAAAAAAGATTTTCTTTGATTTGACAGAGGAAGAATTTTTGAGGGGCCAAGCCAAACATTTGGAAATGATGGAAGAATTAAAGTCAACGTTGGACAGTGAACACCTTAAATGTAGAGTGAGATTAGAAAGTTTACAGAGATTACTCCTGCTTATTTTCCCTTGTATTTTTATTTTTCATACAATCCTGTATAAAACTGTAAAAAATACAAAATTTTTAAAGCATTAACTAAATACATATACATGTATATATAATGATTTTGTAAAGAATTTAGTCTGTTTTAGATTTTAAAGAATAAAGGACAAAAGTTTGAGCTCAACAGCAACAATGATTGAAATTTTTAATTTGAAATGTGAACCTTAAGGACATACGCAACGTAGTTTGAACTTTATTTTCTTTTTCCCTGGAGTTGAAGAGTTCCCATACTTAAAGGAATCGAGTGCTACATTTAATGTCTATATATGCTGTTGTACACTTCTTCTAGAATAAGTCTGGATAAACAAAACATCTAGAATATATGTTTAGTAATTTTTGTATATTTTTCTTTGAATTATACAAGAATTTTCATTAATTGATATCTTTTCAAAACCCCTGGTAATGCCTGCTGATTTTTTGTCTACGAACATCTGATGGCACCATAATCTTAAATTAAGAATATCTTGAAAAATTATCAGTAGGTAAGGTACGTTGCGTATGTCCTTAAATTGAGACAACAATATATTGCCAAAGAAAGAATGAATTTAGCAAAGTATCAAGTTATTTTCATTTATGGATTCAAGAAGTTAGTCAAATGAATATACATGTAACTTGATAGTTCCAGTAACCTTGACTGTTAAATATGGCCTTAAATCATGATCATATTATACACACAATCAGCACAATTTATCAAAGTATTCAAAATCTACAGGGTACATTATATGTAAATGATTTATTTTACAGCTACTCCAAAGTTTACAGAAAAGTTTGAGGCCTTGAGTCATATTCAGATAAAACAGCAGGTAGGATTTCAAAGTACCCACCTGTGTGTAACTCAGAGATATATGACAATGAACGCATATGATTTTTAAAAGTGTAACTCAGAGATATTTGACAATGAACGCACACAATTTTTAAAAGATGAATTATGGGAAACGATTGAAAATTTACAGGTACAAAGATGTATCATTGGACTGATTTGTTTGTAATTTGATTTCAGGACCAAACTTCAGAGCTTACTGAAGAAGCAAGAAAGTTGCTGGCAACATATAACAATATTGTATCCTTCAGATAAATGTTAGATTTAATTCTTACTGTAGAATCCTGAATATATTATAGTGTGCACTTTCACATAAAGCACCACTCGCACAGTAAAGATAGTTGCTTTAATCTTTATATTGCTGAAATACAATGTTAAAAATCAACAGTCCATTCACAAATTCCTGTTCTCGTAATTTGACATTTGTGAGTCATTTTGTGATATTAGGTACTCAAGTTCAATAAGGAATGTACAGTATTCTTAGATCAAAGAACAGGAGACATTTTGGTCCATCTGACAGTCATCCTGTTTGTCCTATGTAAAGTTTAGACAAATGACCTCACAGGTCAGAGATATATTAGTTAATCTCAGTTTTATGATAATATACAGTAATGATATTTTTTTGACGGTGGCTATCTATAGCCACAGTCTTATGCTGCCATTCTGGGTTATGAATAAACAACAGTAAATCCTCACAGGACCCTAGCGATGATTTTTTGCGGAGACAAAATAATGAAAAAATACGTTATGTTTTGCATTATGATTTTTTTTTATATATCTACTTTTGACAGTTTCGAAGAAAAATAGAATGTACATTAACAAAAATTTATAAATTATTACATAAATCATGAATTTCCATTACTCTGGATATTTCTATCAGATTACATCATAATACATTAGATAAAGGTAATTTTGTAACTGATTATCAGTTTCTACTAAACAGGATTCCATTTTAAAGACATGTACAAAAATATTCAAAATCTTATACATCTTTATGAGTTAATCCATTCAAAATAGAAAATAGACTTCTCATTTTGTATGGAATTTTGTAAGAAAAAGCAAATTGACTCCTCACTTTGTATACAGGAAAACCTTGTGTACAAATTGACTTCTGGGTGCTTTGTATACTAATTGACTCCTTGTGTACGAATCAATTTGTGTACGAATTGACTAGACATGCATTACATCATGGGTGGCAGGGGATAGTTTCGTACTAAAGACCCGGTCAAATTTCTTAAAAAACTGAGATATCCCCTGTTTGATGTGATATTTTATGTAGAAAAATGATTAGAATAATTATGGGACACATTTGCAGTGTAGCAGAGTGCTTGCTGAAAAAAATGATGTGCAACATGTAGGTGTCACTATGACGCTTATCGTATACAGAGTTGTAAATGCAAAACTAAGACACATGGTCAGTTGCAGAGGAAATTCAGCTGAAAAGCAGTAGGCCTTAGAAGAAGGTGTGTATCTCAGACGGAAGGTGAATGGCCCCATATCAATTGGTGAATTTTCATTAGGGCATGCATTAATTTACAGACTACTGGGTGTTTTATCCTGCTCGCTCGGGCCTGGGGGTGGGTTGTATGGGTGCGACTGAGGCCCAAATCTTGGAAAAACAAGCCAAAATTTGGGGAGTCCCCAGGTGCATTTTTGGTACATGTGCACTCTACTAGGCAGATTACATGTAATTTGTTGACATAATTTGTGAGCCATGGGCATATGAAGTGTAATTAATGAGCCCCTGGAAAACTGTCCCCATGTACATGTTTTTATGAATCGCATGTATATGTGTACCCCCTCGGCACATGTTTGGCATTAAAAAAAACTATCTTCCGCCACCATGAAGTTGGACACTACTGTTGGATTTAAGCTTTTGCAAATGTAGTGCGGTGTTATTTACAGTTTTCAATGATAAAAAATATATCATCGTCCTTTTTGATTTGTTTTTAGCTCACCTGAGCCAAAGGCTTAAGTGAGCTTTTCTTATCAAAATTTGTCGTTGTCGTAAACTTTTCACATTTTCATCTTCTTCTCCAGAACCACTGGGCCAATTTCAACCAAACTTGCCACAAAGTATCCTTGGGTGAAGGGGATTCAAGTTTGTTCAAATGAAGGGCCACGCCCTCTTTCAAGGGGAGATAATTAAGAATTAGTGAATAAAATAAATGCATCATTTAAAAATCTTCTTCTCAAGAACCATAGGGCCAGGAAAGATGAAACTCATGTGGAAGCGTCTTCAGGTAGTGTACATTTATGTTTGTTCAAATCATGACCCGGGGGTAGGGCGGGGCCACAATAGAGGATCAAAGTTTTACATAGAAATATATAGGAAAAATCTTTAAAAATCTTCTTCTCAAGAACAGCAAAGCCATGATGAGTCATATTTATATGGAAGCATCCTCGGGTAGCATAGATTCAAGTTTGCTCAAACCATGACCCCCGGGGGTAGGGCGGGGCAACAATGGAGGATCAAAGTTTTACATAGAAATATATAAGAAAAATCCTTAAAAATCTCATTCTCAAGAACAGCAAAGTCATGATAAGTCATATTTATATGGAAGCATCCTCAGGTGGTGTAGATTCAAATTTGTTCAATCCATGACCCCCGGGGGTAGGGCATGGCCACAATGGAGGATCAAAGTTTTACATAGAAATATATAGGAAAAATCTTTAAAAATCTTCTTCTCAGGAACAGCAAAGTCATGATGAGTCATATTTATATGGAAGCATCCTTAGGTAGTGTAGATTCAAGTTTGTTCAAATCATGACCCCCAGGGGTAGGGGGGGGGCACAATGGAGGATCAAAGTTTTACATAGAAATATATAGGAACAAGATGTGTTTGTGAAACACTGATGCCCCCGTATGGCAGCTTATGGCGAAGGTTAAAGTTTCTTCAAATGCAAGTCAAAATCCAGGCCAAAAGATAAAAAATGTTGATACCCAAAGAAAGGTCTTGTTTCAAGGAATACACCTGTGAAATTTGAAAGACCTAGATACAACTGTTCAAAAGTTATGGCGAAGGTTAAAGTTTTTTAAATAAAAGTCAAACGTCAAGGTCAAGGTCAAAGTGGTTGGTATCCAAAGGAAGATCTTGTCACAAGGATTACATATGTGAAGTATGAAAGCCCTAGCACCAACCATTCAAAAGTTATGGCCAAGGTTAAAGTTTTTCAAAAGTAGGTCAAACTCCTAGGTCAAGGTCAAAGGGTCAAAGTGGTTGGTATCCAAAGGAAGGTCTTGTCACAAGGATTACATATGTGAAGTATGAAAGCCCTAGCATCAACCATTCAAAAGTTATGGCCAAGGTTAAAGTTTTTCAAAAGTAGGTCAAATTCCTAGGTCAAGGTCAAAAGGTCAAAGTGGTGGTTGGTAACCAAAGGAAGGTCTCGTCGCAAGGATTACATATGTGAAGTATGAAAGCCCTAGCTCCAACCATTCAAAAGTTATGGCCAAGGTTAAAGTTTTTCAAAAGTAGGTCAAACTCCTAGGTCAAGGTCAAAGGGTCAAAGTGGTTGATATCCAGAGGAAGGTCTTGTCACAAGGAATACACATGTGAAGTTTGAAACCCTAAGCACCAACTGTTCAAAAGTTATGGCCAAGGTTAAAGTTTTTCAAAAGTAGGTCAAATTCCAAGGTCAAGGTCAAAAGGTCAAAGTGGTTGGTATCCAAAGGAAGGCCTTGTCACAAAGAATACACATGCGAAGTTTGAAACCCCAAGCACCAACTGTTCAGAAGTTATGGCCAAGGTTAAAGTCTCATAAAATTTTGCAAAAGTGGGTCAAACTCCAAGGTCAAGGTCAAAAGGTCAAATATGATGGTACCCAAAGAAAGGTCTTGTCACAAGGAATACACATGTGAAATATGAAAGTCATAGCTCCAACCAATCAAAAGTTATGGGCAAGGTTAAAGTTGACAACAGACAAACGGACAAACAGACAAACAGATAAACAGACAGACAGGACAAAAACAATATACCCCCGGGATCTTTCGAGCCGGGGGCATAAAAATCTTTAAAAATCTTCTTCTCAAGAGCAGCAAAGCCACAATGAGTCATATTCATATGGAAGCATACTCAGGTAGTGTAGATTCTATTTTGTTCAAATCATGACCCCCAGGGGTAGGGGGGGGGCACAATGGAGGATCAAAGTTTTACATAGAAATATATAGGAAAAATCTTCAAAAATCTTCTTCTCAAGCACAGCAAAGCCATGATGAGTCATATTTATATGGAAGCATCCTCAGGTAGTGCAGATTCAATGACCCCCGGGGTTAGGGCGGGGCCACAATGGAGGATCAAAGTTTTACGTAGAAATATATAGGAAAAATCTTCTTCTCAAGAATAGCAAAGCCCAGATTGTTCATATTTATATGGAAGCATCCTCAGGTAGGGTAGATTCAAATTTATTCAGATCATGTGCCCCCGGGGGTAGGATGGGGCCACAATGGAGGATCAAAGTTTTACATAGAAATGTATAGGAAAAATTTTAAAAATCTTCTTCTCAGGAACAGCAAAGCCCTGATTGATCATATTTATGTGGAAGCATCCTCAGGTAGTGTAGATTCTATTTTGTTCAAATCATGACCCCCGTGGGTAGGATGGGGCCACAAAGTCTTAAATAGAAATATATAGGAAAATATCTTCTTCTGAAGAACTGCAAACCATGATTAGTCATTTTGATATGGAAGCATCCTCAGGTAGTGTAGATAAAATTTTGTTCAAATGATGACCCCCAGGGGATGGGTGGGGCCCATTGGGGGATCGAAAGTTTTACATAAGAACATATAGAAAAAATATTTCTTTTCAAGAACAGGAAAGCTATGTTGAGTCATATTGATATGGAAGCATCCTCAGGCAGTGTAGATTCAAGTTCAAATGATGACCCCTGGGATAGGGAGGAACCACAATGGGGGATCAAATTTTTACAAAGGAATATATGGGAAAATTTTTTTAAAATCTTCTCAAGTAACCCCCCCCCCCGGAGTAATCTTTTCAATACTGAACTGATTTGTGCTTTTGCCTAGCCAATGTGCTCAGGTGAGCGATGTGACCCATGGGCCTCTTGTTTGTTTCTGTAGATATTACACCTTTGATTTAATGACTTCACTGATTAATGATAGTGTTTTATTAAAGCAATACCAGCAGTAACTGACAGTAACTTTTGCTTTACACAAGAATATTATTTAACACCTACCCATAAAACAATGGTAGAAACAAAGTTCCTGTAAGAAATCTAGAATAATAAATAAAGTAAGACTATGTGACTGCACGCTGCCCATTTTTCTTTTAAAAGCCATTGGGATTGCAAGCCACTGCAAAAGTATAATTTTAGTTTTATCCTAGTGATGTACTGACTTGATCTCCAAACAGCTTGCAGGTGTTAAATGCTGCTCTTGCTTTGGAAAGTCTCTCTTTGATATCAGTCTCTGTTTCTCCATTTGTTGTAACTTTACTACCCAAGTATGTATGGTCTTTACATGAATATATTAGGACCTTTGCTTCCCTTAATTTAAAAATGAGGGTAAACTGGTTTTGACACATTACTAGGATTTATAAAAAAATTAATATGAAGATATTATAATCCACTACTTGAATATATAATTTCTGTCTGCCTACCCATGCTTTGGAATCCTCAAATATGTTTTTGTTTTAAATTTGCAATTATGATTGCACACCACAATTGTACATGTAGCCAAAAAACCTTGAAACGATCGAACTTTTGTTTCTGACATTTCAGCACATTCTATAATTCTTCAAACCTTATTTTAAAATAAACAGTTCACCTTATGTAGAAAATTTTATATAATGAATTGTTTAACAACTTCAATTAATATATGTGCCCATCATAAAGACGCAAATAAAATAAGTTTGCTTATCGAATACATGTATTGTGAAAAATTGCAATAAACTTTCATTATTCCCATATCATTTTACAGATTCTCATAACATTTTATTCATTCATCCCACCCTCTATCAGTACTCACTGTTCTTTGATTGTTGTATAAACTCTCTCTCCCCCCCCCCCCCCCCAATGAATGAATGAATAGAGTACCAACAATCTCTGAAGTATAATAGAATTGTCTCCTTGACAACAAGTAGATTACCTTGGTATCCAGGCAGTTTGTCCAATGGGATGAAATACTGACTAATATAGAGGCCAAGAAAACAAAGACCAAAAACTAAAATATCATAGAAAAATGGTGTTAGTGCAATATTTAATAAAACTATCTGTACAATATAAGATTATTATAAAGTTATTATAAAATTGAGAACCAGTGATGTTATTCATTGTCTGATTTTGGAGGGAATTTGCAGTTGAACATGGATGGGTATGTTGAAGTCCCAACAGCTTTTTTTTTTTCTTTTTTTCTTTTTTTTTTTTAAATACATATTTTAATCTCAGTATCTGAAATGTTCGATATCGCAAGGTTTTTCCTGAATCCTATTGACTTTGAAAAAACAAGGCTGGACCTTATTTTACATGTACACATACATGTATGTGAAGATATGTTTTGGTATTATGGCTCGTGGAGTGAATGTAAAAAGTATACATTTTATATAAGATAATTACATGTTCATGCATCTAAAGTTCTAATATTAGCAAGGAAATTAGTATTCCAGTGTCTAACACTTGAACCAGCTGCCTTCTAACCCAAACTGAGTCACTCTGTCTCAGGTGACCTATTTCTGTATGTTTTTGTTGTTCCTTGTGCATTAACATTTGAATGTTTTCAGCTTTTTTCTCTGAAACTGCTGAACCAAATGAATTTCAACCAATTTGGCATCTAGCAACTATGGGTGAAAGGGAACAAAATATGTGAATTAAATCCCCCCAGGCCTGAGGGATGGGGCTAAATCTATCAAAATTAATGCAATCTTTAAAAATCTTCTCTACTCCTTGACTTCAAGCTGTCAGATTGATGGCATGATTGTAATAAACATTGAGCCCTCTACCAAAATTGTGAAATTCATGGCCCCAGGGTCAGGGTTCTGGTGCTAGGTGGGGCTATATAGATCATATAGTGAAAGTGAATTATTTCTTTTAAATTCTTCTCTGCACCTGGGTATTAAACAAAGTAAGTGCATAGTTTTGATGCTTTTTTGTATTATACAGTTAAAAATTATTGCATAATTCTCTTTTTCTATCAACATTTCAGTTACATCATTTACAGTAATTAATTATCATAGGTGAAAAGCAAAGGAGAATAACTTCTCTCAGTAGAATACAAATTAATAGAGCCCTGGCCAAAACCAGAACACTTGACCAAGTGGATCAAAATACTGAAGATTGGCAAATAATCCCGATGGTTTTAATTTCACTATGTTCGCAATTCATCGTTTTTCTGCGAAATGAAATCCATTGTGAATGCTATCATTAGTTTTTAAAAACGTTTAAATGCTTATACGAAATTTAAATTAATTTCTCGCAGCATGAAATTAAAACCATCGCGATTGGTACTTTTTGAGAAATCATGAAATTTTAACACCGTAGAATTAAAACAACTTGCAGTACTCAAAAAGGAGGTGGACCTGTTAGTTTGTAATTGTATTGATTACATAGTGAAAATGCATTTTTTTCTCTGAAAAATCTTTGCTACTTGGTTTTAAGCACAGAAATCTTAAGTGCATGGTTATGATGAGCCAGGGTTCCTTTTCCAGAATTATGAATTTCATGGCCCATGGGTCAGTGGTTCAGGTGTTAGGGCAGGACTCTATTAATCATATATTAAAAATGCATAAATTATTTAAGAAACGTTTTATCCCTCTGTATATTAAGCAGACAACTTAAGTGTATGGTTACATGTATGATCAGAAAGGGTGTCTCTTCCAAATTGTGAAATTCATGGTCCTTGGGTCAAGGATTGTACCATTAAGGTGGGGGGGGGGCAGTACTGATTAGTGAAAATGCATTATTTCTTTGAAAATCTTCTTCCCTGCACCTTGGTATTCAGCAGACATACTAAGTGCACAGTAATGATGAGCAATATTTAGCAGATATACTAAGTGCAGAGAGTGCCCTTTTCTTAAATTTTTGAACTTGAAGGCACCTGGGATTGGTTCTCTGGTGTTAGGGTGGAGCTCTATGGATTATATAGTAAAATTGCATTAATTCTTTGAAATTTGTGTTCTTTACTGCTATGTATTTAGCTAATAAACTAGGTGCATAGTTATGATGAGCAAGGGTGCCTCTTACAAAATTGTGAAATTCATGGGTCTTAATGTCCTGGTGTTAAGATGGAACTCTATTGATTATTTAGTGAAAATGCATTAATTCTTTTTAAAAAAATTTCCAGTTCCTGGGTATTTGGCAGATAAACTAAGTGAAATTTCATGATGAGCAAAGGTACCTCTTCTGTTGACAGATAAGACAATGACATCGTTTATATTACCATAATGGTGTCCATGACTATGCCCCCCACATTCACAATGTTTTTTTTGTGGGCTCGAAAGATTCCCAATAAATTTTGATATAGTCATTAAAACTGTATGCGAATGCAGTACACAGTTTTCTGATCCAGTATTCCTCTCTTTATCTACGGAACAGAGCACATACTTAATTGAAGTAGGATTATTTGTAGGATGGTATGTTTTTCTCCAAAATTCTTACCTTCATTTAAATGATAGAATGTTTAGCGTTATTGAATTGTTAAAAGTGTTGGTGGCCTCTAGTGTTTACTTAAAACCTACTACTCAGTATGCCCCAGCATTTTTAGCTCATCTGAGCCAAAGGCTCAAGTGAGTTTTTCTGATCGAAGTGTCCAGCAACCGTCGGTCATCTGTAGAATTTTCACATTTTCAATTTCTTCTCAAGAACCACTGTGCCAATTTCAACCAAACTTGCCACAAAGCATCCTTGGATGAAGGGGATTTAAATTTGTTCACAGGAAGTGTCACGCCCTCTTTCAAGGGGAGATATATAAGAATTCATTTCAAGAAACACTGGGCAAGAAAAGATGAACCCTATGCGAAGGCCTCTTTACATACTCTAGACTCAAGTTTGTTCATATCATAACCCCCGGGGGTAGGGCAGGAGCAAAAGAGGGGTTCAAAGTTTTACATAGGAATATATAGAAAACGTATTTAAAAATCTTCTTCTCAAGAACAGCAAAGCCAGGATTAGTCATATAATTATAGAAGTATCTTCAGGTAGTGTAGATTCAAGTTTGTTCAAATCATGACCCCTGGGGGTTGGGCACAGACAAAACAGGGGGCCAAAGTTTTACATAGGAATATGTGAGAAATATTTCAAAAATTTTCTATTCAAAAACAGTTAAGCCATTATTAGTCATATTAATACAGAAGTATCCAGGTGCAGTGTAGATTCAAGGTTGTTCAAATCATGACCCCTTGGTAGAGCAGGACCACAACAGTGGGTCAAAGTTTTACATTGGAATATATAGGTGTAATGGTTAAGGGGCATTTGTGTTAACACATTGAAGACTTCAGATAGTGGAATGACCTGACAAGCCTTGGAATGGACTAGCCAAATGATTTATAAGGCAAAGCTTTGGGAAAGTCGGGCATTCAGAAGGTAGCTGAAGAAGTTGGTTTGAATCAGCAATAAAGAAGATCTGAAGAAGATTGAGACACCCATTTCTTATCTATCAATAGGAACCTAGGGGAGGAACACAGTGTAAGTAGAACTTTACCCAGTCCCCATCTCTAGATAACAGAAAAATTTTAGTACTGTGTGATTTACCCTCAGACAGAACAGTCTTAATAATCATTCTCATGGGAAATGCCTTTAAGAATCTTCTTCTCAAGAACAGCCAGGCCATTATTAGTCATATTTATTGAAGCAATGTTAGGTATTGTAGAATCAAGTTTGTTAAAATTATGACCCTCAGGGTTTGGGGGGGGGGGAGGGGGGCAGAGGGTCAAAGTTTTACATAAGAATATGTAAGAATCATCTTTAAAAGATTCTGCTCAAGAACAGCAAAGCCACAAAGCCATGATTAGTGATATTATTACAGAAGCAACCTCAGGTAGTGTAGATTCAAATTGTTCAAATTTAGGGTGGG